TGGGTGTTCATAGACCAAGATGCTTGTACTGTGAACTAAGCAGAAGATTGAGATCGACAGCAATTGTCTAGGTCAAGATCGTTTAGATTATTAGAATTACCTAGGCGTGCTCATCTAGCTAAAATAGGAGACAGAGGGCAAGATACCTTTCCATGACACGCAAGCTAGGTGGGTTATTGTTGGAGGAAGTGAAGGTATCCACCGATTGCCATCTATTTGCTAGCGGTCCGTTGTAGTGTTTGCTAATGGCCCGCTGCACTGATTGTCCAGCTCATTTGGTTAGCTCGGTTTGCTTCCCCAACCCTTCACTGCTATCCCCTTTGACTATATAGTTCCAATCGATCCTTGCCATAGCCCAAAAAATCAATCAACACCTCAACCTTTCCACAGTTATGGACTAGGAGAAAGGCCCTAAGTAGACTAATCATATCTACCGCGATCTTTATGTTCATTGCCATACTTTTATATATCTGCACTGTTTACTCCATGAACACGAGCTTTCCAAAGACTGCGGTTTGGACTGATGGAAGGCCAATACGACACGCCTTTTGTCTTTGTGTCTCAGGCTCTGCGTTACGGAAGATGGCAAAGACTCCAGAGGGTGCTGCGCTAGCGAAGAGACTAGAGTGTTCACAAACACCGGCTGGTATGATCTAGTTCCGAAAGTCATGCAATGGCTTCATGTCGGGGTGGATCGTGAGTGATCAGTACGTATGTGGGAAGAATTGAAGGATTGAACTGGGGTTATATTGGGTGAAGCTACGAACAGTATGTATAGGTGAATAGCTGTAAACAACGCTAGTGTGACGTGGCAGTCACTTTCATGGCAGGTGAGGTTTGACAGGCAGGAACATCCTAATCGTGACACAACCTAAACCGTGACATCATATGTCACCAATACTTTTGTAACAATGCAGAGCCCCATTGCGCCAAATGGCCAAAAAGTACATCAATATCAGCAGAACTGCTGATATTGGGCTCTGCATCTAATATATAGGCATAGTGCAAGGCATCTCCTTACAACTTTACAACAACAGAAGATTGAGGTGATGATGATATTGGAGATGGCCCGAAGTAAGATCAGTGTGAGCGCCGATGTTTGGACATCTCGAAATCACTACAGCTTCTTAGCAATGGTTGCTCACTTTGTTGGTAAGTCTCGTGCCTCTGGCGTTGTTAAACTATACTGACTCAATTATAGATGCCTCATACAAGCAACAAGATGTACTTATTAAATTCCGCAACCTTCTTGATGACCACACAGGCCTTGCGCAGGCTTTGTTGATACTTGACATCGTCTGCGAGTACAATTTTGAGACGCAATTCAACTGTTTTGTTGACAACGCCTCCAGTAACGACAGCTCTCTCACTGATGCCTTAAAACCTCCAATTTGCTTGACCTCAGCACTAGTCACCGCATATGTTGCGCGGGTCACATTATCAACCTTGCTATTAAGGCTACACTGTATAGCTCTAGGGTCTCCAAATTTGAAGAGGAGCTTTCTGAGGCAGGTCCTGTGGAGCAGGTTGAGCTATGTTAACGTCATGGTGTTGTTGGCAAACTACATAACTTTGTCAATACTGTTTGTGCTTCCCACAAGTGCCGTGAAGCCTTCAAACATTGCCAGAGATCGCTTTTGAATGATGATACCTGGTCGAGTTACCTCATGCTCTCACTTGTACGGGATGGGAGTGTACGTTGACAGTCCGTCTATCTCATGTTACTACACTGCCATAAGCTCAAAGATGCTACACGGAGCTTCCAACGTCAATTACGCAACACTGAGGCATCAACAACAACACCTACAGCACAAGCCACCTACTCCACCCTTAAAGATCACATCTCTGATGACGACTGGGATGAGGTCGACCAAATTATTGACTTTATACAACTCCCGTACGAGCTCACAAAGCGTCTTAAAGGCAACAACAGCCAGTGAGGCTTTCGGCTCTCTATGGCAAACTATCCTTAATTTATAGACTTTGTCGAAGCTTTACTCTGAGACTGCCTACAGTTTGAATTACACCCCTGACTCGTACTCCAAGAGAGCTGTCTTCTATGGGCTTACCAAGCTTGATTTGGACTGTAGCAAGCTTATTGAAGACCCCAGAGATCAGCTACTATTATGTTGCGATGGCTTCCCACCCCAGGCTTTGCCAATAATAGTTCAACACCCACTGGAAAGGATTTGAGGATTGGCGTCAAAAGGCTGACTCGACTATCAAAGCCATCCACAGAGCATACCTCAAGAACGAAATTGACACCGATCAAGATCGTGTAGTTGAGCAGCAATCTCAACCTACTCGCCGCAAGGTACTTGGAGATGACTGTACAACTCTGTTTGATGAGACAATGGCTGTTGATCTCATGCTTCTCACCGGAAACAAGGGTATCAAGAAGCTCAAACGTCGAACTGAGTTACAGGAGTACTTTGAGGCCGTTACAATTGGCCTCCGCAACCCCGATCCTGAATACCAAAGCCTTCTAACAATCGGTAGCAATGATGAGTAAAATAGGGGCAGCACAAGTACCCTCTGCTTTTCAAGATAGCTTGCAATTTCCTTTCCATCTCAAGTACCAGCTGCGAGTGTGAGCGCTGCTTCAGCACTGCCAGGCGGATCTTTACACACGACAGGAACAGCATCAAGGCACATACTATTGAAGCTGTTCAACTTAGAAAAAATGGATGCGTCACAAGCTTGTTGATAGCTCGCTGCAAGAGCTGGAGGATCTCATTGACAGGATTGAGCAAAAAGAGAGGGCAGTGATACTCGGCCGAGCCGTACAGTACTGTGGCGGCGTGGGCCGCTGTAGAATACTAATAGCTACGGTAAACGATAATGTAGGACTATCGGGTCGATGAAATACTGTGCTGAGTTGATATCTAGCTAGGAGTTGACGATATATACTGGCCCTGTCCATAACAGTCTAAGCAAGGGCATTCGGATCTCGTAAGGACCGACTAACACCGCAACATTATTTCTAGCCAGGAATCTCCGATGATATCAGATGCTTCATCAGGAACTGTACTGTTTGTAGTAGGCCAAACCCTGGAGAGATGGTCTGCATGAGTTACTGAAGCCTCTTCCCATACCAGAGCGAATTTGGAAGGAGCTGTCCATGGATTTCATCACATGGCAACCATACCACTTGGTACGCTAAGCTACGGTTCGACCTTTAACAACGCTACTTGTGAGAGCCTGAAGGAACAATGGCAAGATGAGAAGATCCAGTATGTAGGGCCCGCCTTCCTTGAGATGCGACACTGACAGGTGTTTGTTATGAGTCCTCTTTGTCGGTGATGGCACCGTTTTTTGCGAACCGGAGCTGCGACTCATTCCAATCACGAGAGCGCCCCTGTGAGCTCGGCAACTATGTCACATATGCCGTCGATGCTTCTGGACCTTCAGATGTCCAGTGAACAGTTGCGTTCGTGGCATCCAGGAACATTCGTCTTGTCATCCGTAATACTGCTCATAATAAGTGCCCCGACGCCTTGTAACCAGACATACCTGGTTCTGACTAATTTGCAGGATATCTGGGACGCTTGACAGGTTCCGGCCGTATGGGCCCACCATCTTAAAAGATCACTCATATCCCGGCATACAAGGGTGCATTATTCAGCTCGGTGCCGGCGAGAGAGCATTTGAGATCATGGCGGCCGATCGTGACAAGGGACTGGTAGTCGTAGGTGGCGAGTGCCCGACTGTCGGCATCACAGGTGGTTACACCCAGGGAAGAGGCCATTCGGAGATCAGCACGAGCTTCGGACTGGCTGCTGACAACGTGCTTAACTGGAAGTCGTCACCGAGATTGGCAAACTCGTGAACGCTAACAAGAACCAGAACTCTGACTTGTACTTGGCGTTGAATGGCGGCGGTGGGAGCACATACGGTGTCGTGGTATCCATGACGGTGAAAGCACACAAGGAAACTGTGTTCGGTGGAGCTTCCCTGTCGTTCTTCGCGGCCGACAATGCCCAGGACGTCTTCTACGATGCGATTCAGGCTTTTCACGAGGAGCTGCCAGCGATGGCTGACGCAGATACCATGGTGGTACACTACTTCACGTCATCACTCTCCATGATCTTGCCGCTTAATGCGTACAACAAGACTGAGGTCCTGGTCAAGACCATTCTTGCGCCTTTCGTTGCCAGGCTCGACGCCAAGAAGCTCAACTATACCGTCAGCATGCTGCCATGTCGTCCATGATCAAAAGCGGGTCGACCCACTCTATAGGTCCTGGACACCGTACGTTGCCGCGATATATTTCCATCGGCTTTTCAGGGTAAAACAACACATTGCTTAGAAGCATTGGGTGCCGTTCGATGGATTCCAGCAATCTGGGTGCTCATTTCCGACCTGCAGGTCGAAAAGCTTGCATGCTCCTTCGGTGTTCCTTCGTGTGAAGCCACCCGAACAAGACGGGAAAATCCAGTTAACCAATCAAATCTTTTTGCGCTCGCGGCTCGAATAGTGTGAGTGGGTGTTAATGCGTTCTTTTGGCTGCAACAGTAGGAGGCTCCGGAGGATCCGGTTGCCAAGGCCGGCTGAACGATCCTTCAGCTCCGTCAAACCTTGCTGTTCCTGCAGCTGCACCCTGGACTCCACAACCCCACCTCACGACTCAAGCTGCGGGGTTCTTCTGGATCTTGGACTCTTGGGCGCTGTTACGCGCTCCTAATCGTATTCACAGCCTGTCTGAGAAATTCCAGTACTGAGAGCATCTTATAAAAAGCGTTTATTTGAGTTTCACAGTTGCACCTCTTCGGTTTCCTCGATGTTGCAATCACAACTGGCTCCTCTTTTACAAAGTGCAATTTCGTACTGCGTGTACGCAAGGCCTCCTACATCCAATCGGTTCTCAGTGATACGGATTCGGAGGTGTACCTATCCGCCCTCGCGGGTTACCTCGCACCAAACTTCATGGAGAAAGTACGACATGGGGAATGCCAGGGATCAGAGGACGGGCCGGCTCATTTTCCCGTCTTGACCATAAATCCGCAGAGACTCCACTACGATGCCGCGCGGAACCACAGCATGTCTTCCGCTCTTACGACACCCTCACTTTTCCACAGCGAGACTTTTCTCTTATTCACGATTACATTTCGCGGAATCTTGTTCGTTGGATATGAATTGTGTTAGTGTTCAAGCCTAACGAACACTATGTTCGTTCCCGAGCTCCTCGCTCGTGACAGAGACTTGCTTGGACACAACAATCGCACCTTGCGGTCGTTGTGTGCCAGCTGGACTGTTCAGATGTTGCATCTTTATGTCGCTACTTTCCTTGACAATCCGTTCCTCGCTTTCGTTGTCGAAGGTCATGTTTGCTGTGATCAAGGTCCCATTCCGCGGAGTCTTTCTAGCATGACTCGACGCTCCGCCACCACCAATAGTTACGAATCCGCTTCCTGGTGTTTTATACGCTTTGTTGCTACTAGAGCGGAAAGTGCTTGGCAGGAGAGGAGCAAGCCAGACTTTGAATAGCGGGAAGATCATAGGAAGGTTCGTCGTGACGACTGCGATGAAGGTCTCTCTGGTACCCCATTCGGCTGCCAGCTGTCCGCCGTTGACGGGATCCTAGAAAAAAGTAAGTGGAATATTGAGATATCGATTTCGCATTGACAAATTCTTCCCTCTACAAAGTCTAACAAGGCAAGTGGTAACGATAGAAATGGTACTCACAACGATGACATAGATACTTTTCAGGGTCGCGCAAATGATGATGAGAAGACCAGCAGAAAGCACAGATGTTGCGGCCATCTTCTTGTAGAGCCGCAAACTTGACTTCCACAGCATGGGAACGGGTATGAAGAAGAGGAAGATATCGGTAGACACATTCAAAACGAATGAGACCCAGAGGATAGGCTTAGAGATGGCCGGCTGGCAAGAGTTTCCTGGATCAGGAGACACCTGCCAGTAGTGATTGAAAGGCCTACACGAGAGGAAGATGGTCATGACAACGGCCACAAAGGAAGTCGCGATGAGGACCATTGCGATGTGTATACGCTTCTGGTATGTCCCAAGGCCATTCTGCGCGATCTGTATGAGCAAAGGACCATGGAGCCGGGTCACAGATATACGTACGGTGAGCCGGAAGTAGAAAAATGTCACACACAGCTTGAGCGTCCAGAGCAAGCATGCTGCCACTGTCCAGCCCGCCAGTTGGATCTTGGAACCGATGACTCTGGAGTCGACGTCAGATATACTTGTCGCCTCGAAATATATCCAGGCCCATCATAGAGCGTATTATGAGGCGTCGACATACCTCCACGCGTATTCTGGATCGTCTTGCGAGAGCGTGCTCCGTTGAGTATCCGTCATGCCGTTGTTCGCGATACCGTGAGCAACGATTCCTACATGGTATCCAAGAGTGGTTTGCGCCGTGTAGATGAGCTGAAAGTATGTGTTAGCTGACTGTGTGACAAAGTTGGCCAGGTGGTTATTACTCACAATAGCGAGCCAGATCAGGTAGTCGTCAGCGCGAAGCTCTCGATAACCAACAGCGGATATTCTAGCATAGGTTCGAAGAAGGGTGATTAAGACGCCGAAAAAATACAGCGTCCACAGCTCCACCGTAGTATTGCTGGGCATGTTGATCCCTGGGAGTCGGATTGTCGTCGATCACTGGGTGTAACGAAAGGATCTTGTTCATGGGAAAGCGATGTTTTCACATCTACAGCTCGGCACAAATTGCTCACGCGGCAGTTCGCACGGTCAACAACCAATACGCAATTCTGAAATGGATACTTGACCATATGTACCCACTTTTCTGGGCGGCCCGCCTAATTCCAAAGAGAATCTGAACCCTGCAACTTGCATGCATAAGCCGCTCGCCGAGTAGCACATGCATTGCGGTCCTGATGTTTTTTTCCGCAATCCCGAGGCCAATGCGCTCCTGTGCAACGTTCATTACCCTGGTTTCGGTTGCGTGGATACATCCGGCACTCTCGCCACCTGCGAGGGTAGCGTTCCCATTCGAGACTGGGCCATTCAGATCTTTCCCATCTCAGATCCTTTAAAACCAAGGTCTGGGTGTTTCTGAGGGCCAACCTACGTTCCTCGACCGTCGTCCATTATTGGCAACATGTTCACACGGTTCTTTACTTCGTCAGCAGTCGCTGCTTGGACTGTCGCATCAGTACTTCCGATTGGCTCGTGTGGACCTACTGCACCTCAGGATGTCTTCCCAAGAACGCCTGCAGCCGCCATTGATGTGAAGCCACTTGCATCCCAGCTTTCTCGTGGCGCGCAGATCTATTACCCAGGGAGTGAATTGTTCACCAACTACACGGTCCGATGGTCAAATCTGTCTCCTCCGACTCCCAACGTGGTCATCGCGCCGGGCACAGAGAAGGATGTCGCTCAGATCGTAGGTCTTGCCATTGATATTAGTCAGTCTCGAAAGCCTGCATCTTCTGACGCTGCTTGTCTTCAGGTTAAATTTGCCGCCAAGCGCGATATTCCCATTCTTGCTTACAATGGACATCATGGGGCCTTGACCAGGTAGGCGTCTCGTTGACCTGTAAGATACATGCTGAATCCTTTACAGCCTGGGTAAAATGGACTACGGCATTCAGATCTACATGCCTCAATTAAACACCATCTCTATTGCTAAGAACAAGTCATCGGTGACAATTGGCGGTGGCACAAATAGCAAGAAGCTGACGGACGCACTTTGGGCGGCGGGCAAGCAGACTGGTAAACGTTCCTCAATCATGGCCTGCTTTTGTACGATTACTTACCAATGACTTAGTCACTGGAACATGTGAATGCGTCAGCTACCTGGGGCCAGCATTAGGTGGTGGGCACGGCTGGCTTCAAGGCCATCATGGATTGATCTCAGACCAGTTCGAATCGATGAACGTCGTCCTTGCCAACGGCGACCTGAAGACAATTGACACCAAATCGGACCTATGGTGGGCTATGCAGGGAGCCGGTCACAACTTTGGTATCGTCACTTCTGTTACTTCCAAGATCTACGACATCGAGAACACAGACTGGGCAATTGATACCATCATCCTGAGCGGTGACAAGGTCGAAGCTATCTACAAGGCCGCCAACGAGGTCTTCATCCAAAATGGCACTCAGAGTGCCAAGACCCACAACTGGTCTTACTGGCAGAACGACGCGTCGCTTGATGCAGAAAAGGCAAGACCACCCGCAAGTGACCAAATGCTCCCGCTGACTGAAAATCCTCCTTTAGCCTGTCATTATTATGTACATCATCCAAGAAGGCGTCAAGGTGGTAGACTCCAGATACACGAAGCCCTTCCATGATCTCGGGCCTCTCAAGTCGACGCCGGAGTCCGGGACGTACCATGACCTCGGCGCCTGGACCGGTATCGCACTAGACTCTCCTCCTTGCCAGGATTTCGGCTTCAACAACCCGAGGTTCCCCATCTACACGAAGGCGTACAACACCACCGCGCAAAAGAAGGCCTATGAGCTCTACGCATCGGCCATCTCTGGAGCTAACTCGCCCTACACCAACTCAATCTTCATGTTCGAAGACTATGCCACCGCAGGCATCCGCAATCGTCCTGCTGACGCTTCCGCATTTGCTTTTCGCGACGTCCATATCTTGGCTGCGCCACTCATCATCTATGCCCCTACGAACAAAACGCAAGATGATGCGGTCAAGCAGTTGGGTAATCAACTCAGGGAGGTCATTCGAGAGGGCACAGGAAGCGAAGAGGTTCACACTTATGTCAACTACGGTAAGCCAGCTCCACCAATCAGTCTCGGGCGCTTCAGCTAATGTGATACGTAGCGTATGGAGATGAAGGTACCAAGAGTTGGTATGGGTACGAGACGTGGCGTCAGGATCGTCTCAAGGCGCTGAAGAAGAAGTATGACCCACAAGGACGCTTTTCCTATTATGCACCGATTGCGTAGTAGTGAGCAAAGCCAGGCCTCTCGATGTCAGTGCAATGTATACAACCATAAAGATGAGCCGACGATGTCGTTTCCAAGGATTTTTCCTCGCAAACCTGCCCCCCTCGATCGCTCAGTGCATTGGCTTTCGTCCCATGTTGGAGCTAATAGTCTCGTCTATGGATCGGTTCAACTTGAAACATGTCGTGTCGAGTAGAATGACACCGTATTTGTGACCTCACAAAATAACTCTCGCAATGTTAGGGGCGATAATGGAGAGAGCGACAACGTAGGGAGTACACAAGTATTGCATAATACAATCAACCATCAAGAGACGTACACAGCCTCAGGATCGATAGCGGACACTCACACCATATTTGGTTGGTAGCTCACCCAACTCCGCATCCAACTTCTAGCTTGTAGATTATGTCCTGTAAGGCTTGTCCATCTCCTCCCCTTTCCCGTACCCAGTCTGCGCGAACTCGGGGTGCTGCTTTACAAACCAAAAGCGCATGGTGAGCGTGACACCAATAGCTCCAGCAGCGAGACGATGCGAGTGGGAAGCCGATAGTGTAGTGTGGCGCATTTACAGCTTTCTATAATCTTAACGGTATCGTGACGAACGTACACAATGGTAACACTCATACCGATGATGATTGCACGAGCTTGGGCTCAACTCGCAGAAGCTCGGGGAGCTATGCTATCAACGCAGGATCACCAGCATTGGTTGCATATATCAAGAAGTACGCAAACATAATCGTCGAATGGCTACTCAACCAGCCTGTCAGGGTGCCACACGCCACAATGTGTACCACGCCTGAACCAACGCAGATCGGCCAGCGCCAGCCTTTCCAATCGCCGAGCGCATTGATGCCGACGTGCGTTATGATCTGCAACTCGTATCCGCCAAGAGGGATGAGATTGACTTGGTAATTGTGTACAGCTTGTTGCCAGCCGAGTCAGTGACTCGTTGAAGATGGCCAGGCGGAAAGCGAGCTCGGTTGGTGTGTACCATGTCATGATGAGGGCAGTGAATTCAGGCCACGAGGTTGCGCCGAGAGCTCCAAGGAGGATGTGGAGGATGTAAATCGTGGCGGCCGTTTTTGCTTTGTGGGTGCTATCCTTGATCAACATGAGGTCGGTTGAGCTCGATCGCAATGGCACTTACAACAAATGTTAGGACTCCCCAGGCGATCTCTGCGAATAGAAGCCAAAGAGATGGAGGCAGCTTTATCTGGAGCATATGTGACGGCACAATAAAGATGGCGTAAGCGATGGAGAAGTAGGGTTGGAACCAGTTCAGCTCGTTGCCGTAGAATGCCATGCCTTCCTTCATGCCGCTGACGTAGGCTTGCGTCGTTGCACTCTGGTCCATATCTTTCATGATACCTGCAATGAAAATCCATAGTAAGAGCAAGCAATCGAGTTTGGTGCGCAGCAGGTTCCCTCACTTTTGAAATAGGGAATGAAGCGACCAAGCCCAAGGTGGCCGCCGTTCGAAGATGTCGTCATTTCGGTACCCATCTTGACGATGCACGTTGTACGTACTGTGATGAGCTATGCTCGGCCTCATCTCCATGTCTTATGTGTTTCTTGAATCCTTCGACGTTGCAAACTTCTGTTGTTGATGAATCAACATGGTGTTCGCGGAAGTTCACCAAGAATCACACAATGTCCGCACGTCAACCATTCAACGTGTCTGCCAAGCTCCTACCTTGCTCTTTTCACGCTCCAGTTGCATATAGTCTCGCAACGATGACGAATTATCATTGTTCTGTATTCGAACCTTTGTCTATCTTACGAAAAGCGGTAATTTTCGTCGGGCCGGCTCCGCTACGAGGCTTGCATGAAGGGAGCACTGGGATGAACGATTCTCGGATGTCGACAGTAAACGCTGAAGGCTTCGATTGACCTGCGAGAGTAAGTCAAGGATCGACTGCCTCGTAACAGCACCGCCAAACGACAATTATCGCCATAATTGCGTCGTATGATGAAGCTGAGAGACGAAAACGATGGGAAAGAGAAAGGGCCCGAGCTAATCGAGACATTGATCTAGTCTCTGTGTATGAGAGCGCGTGTATGCGAATGAGTCTGTTGGTGAGTAATGATAACGGTGCAGATGTTGAAGAGGCCACGGAGAATTGTTGGAGGCAAATTTAGCGCCGCACTAGCTCGTTGGCTTCTCTCACGAAACCTGGCAAAGCCATCAAACATCTGTTCTTATCTTTGCCTTTCGTTTCAATCGCTGCGTATCTTGTGACAACAATCGAACCCTCCCCGATGAGAGGCGCGGCAACACCGGCAACTTCAAGTCGAGGACAGTGGGACAAGTGACGCAGTTATGCTCGCAACGAATAAAAGGTTCCAAATGACCAGATGTGACGTACATGAACAGATGGTGGCTCTCTCGATTGCTCGAATGTGCAGGTAGATCAACCAAAGAGAGAAGGTGAGAAATCATGATCGGAGAGCACTTTGAATGAGATTACTTACACTAACGCAGCATCACCAACGGACACCTGTAGAAGACATCAATGCCAGCTGATATTGAACAGCAAACACTACGGACGGCATTCATTCTGACTTGTACTGGTGCTTCCGATGGCACTGGACGACGCGCATCGCCGTTCCTGGCTTGTGGTCATGACTGCAGTTTCACCACGACCTCAGTTCGGTCGTCTGCAACGCGTTAGCCATCGAAGCTGCTGTCAAGTTCAGGCTGCCTACCTCCAAGAAGGTCCGTGAAGATCTTGTCGTCCTCCAACATCAAAGAGGAGCCACCGAATTTCAGCTGGATGGAGTCGCCGTCCTGATGGGCAGCAACGGGCTTGGCCTTCTTGTCATCGTCTGTGCCAGACTTGAACCAGTAGACTTCTTTCGGCAACATGCTTCGGTTCTCGGTCTTGCTTCTGCCCAACACCCAGTCTCCATATTGCAGACGGCCGTCCTTGAGTATGAACACAGCCGCATCAGGCCCGGTCCTTGCTTGCGTCTTGTCCCCTGCGTTGCTGCCTATATTCGCGATGGGAGAGCCATTCAGCTCGATTGTGAATGGGGAGTCGAGGCTGTCCATATTGGCAAGGGTGGGTGAGGACAAGAGTCGCGGGAGACTGGCCGTCGACAGGAAGATGAACGCGCGCTCGAAGTCTATTAGCATGAGGTGGGAGTTGCGGTCACTGGTGAACGCCTGGCGCGAGAGAATTACCGGTAGTCCTTCGCTAAGGTGATGGTCACCCACAGCCGCCGCCACATGCGACATTGCAGGGGCGTGAGTAGGGAGCCAATCACAGCGCAGATCTGGCACCTGCCAACACCAGTAGTGATAAGCGTAAGGAGCCTCTTAGGAAGATCCTGCGACAGTTCCTTGCAGGAGCATCGCCAGACTGTTAGGGTATCGCGAAATCTAACTTGGCATTGCTTGTGGAATGCCTGATCGGTCCTAGAGCCGGTGGCACTTCAGGCACTCACATCGACCTCCAAGACCACCAAGTCCCGTACTTGCCATTTATTCGATAGCCTCGATATTAATACCGCCTCGTATCACTTTGCCAAGATCTGGAGCAATCTACAAGAACCGCATGCACGATTGCTTGCGGCAGGTCTGTTCACGTCACGACATCTGATGTGGGTTGCTGGACGTTTGATTGCATGGGTACCCCATCGCTTACCTGCAAATCACCTTAGTCTAATCTCGCAGGATGGCGATGCTGTTTCAAGACGTACTCAGTTGGTCCAGTGAAGGTTGAGCTGCACTCTGAAAGGCAACCCGTATGCGCCGCTTTATTTCCTCTGCACAGCGAGTACAAAGCTCGTACGTGCTCGACAAAGAGATCTGCAGTTACGACCCAGTTATACAAAATCCTTCGCACATGGTTTGAGCCCCAGTGAGGCTGTGAGGTAGCACTACTAAGTCACACCCGTACGCTAAGTACAACAGCCGGAGCGAATGGTGTCGCGTGAACGCGGCCTTCAGCATGAGCTTCCTCTTCGGTGTTCGTTACCCGTACCTGCAGATGGTATTGCATCAGATAACAGCCCTACACCAGCGGGAGAATGGTCTGTTTTATCTTCGCCGAAACCCGAATCAACTGCAACTGGAAGGACAGTGAACACCAGCTTGGCAATCTTGATGCTATCAGAAACGCCGGAAAGGGAAGGTTGAGAGAGATGACGCCTGTCCACGAGGCTCATAGAACGGACTATAAGTATGATGGACTTCGCCTCTCCGGAAGAATCATCCACTCGCTGATCCTCTTCCAACACTCACTACCCTCACTCCCGAGCACCTCGTCAAGATGCAGTTCAAGGCATTCCTCGCTAGCCTCATGGCCTCCGCAGTCTCCGCTGCTCCCACTCCCCAGGACTCTGTCGATATCGTCGGTGGAACAGTCGCTCAAGCCGGTGACTTCCCCTTCATCGTCAGCCTGCAGCTCAACGGTGCTCACTTCTGCGGTGGTTCTCTTCTGAACTCTCGCACTGTCATCACCGCCGCTCACTGCACTGTCGGCCAGACTGCTTCCTCCCTCACCGTCCGCGCTGGAAGCTTGGTAAGTTGATCCATATTCGATCAGCATTCAACACAAGAGCTTCAAACTAACTAATCACAGAACCGCAACTCTGGAGGAACCCTCGTCCGCGTTTCCTCGGTCACCGTTCACCCCAGCTTCTCCAGCTCGACCCTCAACAACGACGTTGCCATCTGGAAGCTCGCCACCGCCATCCCCACGAGCTCTACCATCAGCTACGCGGTTCTTCCCGCCTCCGGCTCTGACCCCGCTGCTGGCACCACCACCACCGTTGCCGGCTGGGGAACACTGACCGAGGGCGGCTCGTCTCCCACCACCCTCCGCAAGGTTGACGTTCCCGTGATCTCCCGCGCTACTTGCCGCCAGAACTACAGCGTTTCTGAGATCACTGACAACATGTTCTGCGCCGGTCTTGCTGCTGGTGGCAAGGACTCTTGCCAGGGTGACAGCGGTGGTCCCATCATCAACGCTTCCACTCGTGTCCTCATTGGTCTTGTTTCTTGGGGCAACGGTTGCGCTCAGGCTGGTCAGCCGGGTGTGTACGCCCGTATCGGTACTCTCCTCTCCTTCATCAACGCCAACTTGAGTTAGATGATCTACCTGGTGGAGGCTTTAAGAGTCAGAAGGTTGGGGGGGTGAGGGTAGTTGGAGTGTACGAAGTGGATTTTGCGAAGTGGAATTTGGGTAATGATGTTACTTTGTTCTGAATTGAGTACTCTTTGGTCCGACTCAAACCATCAATAGCAATTTAACAAATGAATTGAATTTTTGGGGAACTATTTTGCTGCAACTTAAATTGCTATATGCGCCGATGGCGATGTGCCGACATTCGAGCCTTCCCATGAATGTGGAAGATAACATCCCAACTGCTTTGAGATGTGCAACAGCGAGAATTTTATTAATGCTAACACCAGCATCATCGACAGCAATTTCCGTTGATTGTACAAGTCTCGCAGAAGCTTGAGGCCAGGAAAGATAGAGATTGATGATGTAGACAGCATAGACCCTCAATGGGACGGGTTAAGGCGCGCTCCTCTCGAATTTCGTTGGCATGCATTCTCACCCAGCCGTCTATACCATCACAGGTTCGGGCGGTGCTGAGCGGACTGACTTTGTGTTACGATGGCAGTGCTGTCATTGGCCCCCAAACAACATGCCTGGAGCGTCGTGGCCCGCGTGCGCCTACAAGGCTGAAACGCGTGGCTAATTTTACGCACATATACCAATCAAGGCCTTGTTTCTGTTCTTGCACTCTTATCGATTCAAAACTTTCGAAGGCCCAGGATAATATGTATCTCGCACACTCGGAATGTTCAGCAACTTCTTTTCTACCCTCAAACGATTCAGTCTGCTCACTCTCGGAGGCCGCAATGTTCGAGATCGCAAGGCTAAAGATGCAGCTGAGTCACAGCCTTTGACTACCTCGGGGACGTCAAAAGAGACGGGTTTCTTGGATTCCTTACGAACATGGTACAGCGGATGTTGGGTTGGAATCCGTTCATTTCTTGATTGACCTCGTTGTCACAATCTGGGCATCGTTGTTCTACGGATCTGGCGTTTTCTGGAGGGGGAAGGCAGTCGTGTCAAACGCCTCAATACTTGGTTTCACGTCTTGATCAATGCTCTAAGCACAATACTACTCAGCGTGAGCAACTATTGTATGCAATTTTTGAGCCTACCAACACGATCGATCAGCCATGCAGCTCACGCACGGCTGCAGTGGCTTGATGTCGGAATCCCGAGTTTTCGCAATATCAGGCATATCATCAAACGCAGAACCGTCGTTTGAGCTTTACTAGATATCTTGTTACGGTATCGGTTGGTCCGTACAAGGTCTGACTATACCCCTAGCAGAGTACTTTAGTCCAGTATGTTACAGGTCAGGTATATTATTACCGTTGTCGAATTGTATGCACCATAGTTCGGATGAATGATATCATAGGTTTGTAAGGGGTATGTGTTGCGGTGCTAGTCCGTCCTTACGAGATCCGATTACCCTTGCTTAGACTCTTATGGACTAGCACGTTACAGGGCTAGTATATATCGTCTTCTCCTAGCTAGACAGCAACCCAGCGCAGTATTATATCGTATTATACAGCGGCCCACTCCGCAACTTATCTTATCGCTGCCACTCCATCTATTGCACGTGCACCGTTGCAACCGGTTGGTTGCTGACCCATTTAGCTACAACTCGGCTGTCGTTGCTTCCGTCTCGACCAATGACTACCACGTCGCCTTTGCCAGAGAAGCATTTCTGACCAGTCTACAACCTTCGTATCGCAAGTGCTCCAGCTGTGACAGCAGTGTCACAGTAGAGGGGGGTCTCACGCTAGCTTCCATCGAAGCAGCAGCTTGGCTATCAGTGCTGCGTGCCATACAATGGAAACAGAGGTGCGGAACGCTGAGAGTGCGCTGTCGGAATAAGAGTTGCAATGGGGCGTGGTCAACCCGGATCATCAGGATGTTGAACATTGTGCTTTTTCAACTGGAACTGTTGAGTTGCCAACAGAAGGATCGTCATACACCGGCATGCGTAGGTTCTCGTGGGATTGGGTTAGATGATACGAGAAATACAGACCTGTCCGGGACGGAGAGATCTGCACTTCCAGGACCGAGGAGGTTTCTGCCGCAGGACTTGCTTCCATATTCTAATTCCTATGCCGACTGCCGATGATGCAGAAAGCTTCACGTCTAAAGCAAGGCCATCATTAATGATTGACCTCTAGCTGCTTACTGCAGTACTGCCAAGGAGAAACACTAGCTGGTGCTTCCTAGTAGGAATCAGGCGTGATTGTGCTATGGCGAAAGACGTCGGGTCGACTCGACTCGCGTAGAAACAACTAGATGGATAGAAGTCGTACAAAATGTTATGTTGAATGAACATGAAATGTATTGATAAGGACGGAGGATGTGTAAATGTGTGCTTACGCAACACTAATTATTGTTGAAGTATAAAGCATGATTCTTATTATGGTATCTTCCAGTCTCTCAGGCCACTCCCACTTTCCACCATATAACCTTCGCAATACTGGTCATCTACAACATACCCCAAGCCAACAGTCCAGCAAGCAGTCCACTGCCAGCCATTGGCGTCAGCATACTTCCCGCACCTGTGCTCGCAGATGGTGTCGCACCACTGCTGGTGTTCGTGCTGTTGGTAGAGGATTGTTGAAGGTTACCGATGTGCTGAGCGCTGACACCGGTGCCATTTACGCATTGGTCATCAGCAAGAAGCTGAGCAGTCGAGTTGAACACGATATCCGCGCACTGCATTCATTAGCTTCATTCCTCACACTTCGTCCTCCAAAATCTCCGTCACTTACGTTGTAGAGCGCACTGCCCGAGTGACCCAGCTGAATGACCTGCACGCTAGCCTCCAAGCCATTGAACCTCTCATCCTGGAATCCACTGTATCCAGCAGCCTTCAACCCCGCCTCAAGGTTTGCGCGTCCAGCTTCCTTCAGGCAGAACACGCCGGCGCCAGTCTGGTTGATGTTCTCAACAAGCGAGATGTTGAAGTTCGTGACATTGGTGCCGAGACCGAGATTCACATAAGTGAGGGCAGAGCTGTGCGAGCCGTTGATACTGACGGAGCCGCCGGTCAGGGGCCATTGGGTGCGGTTGACGATATCGGTGGTCTCGTTGACGTTGGCACCTGCGGTGAATTAGTGCTGAGACAGAAATCGAACCGACGGTGTGTGAATAGCATTTTGTATTGCATTGGTGATCAGAGGCGCTTCTGTGCACGGTACGTACAAGGGAAGATCCACTGGCTGGCTGGCTCCTCGAAAGAGTCACCACGCCATGTTGGCGCGAGGAGCTTGTAGTGCGCTGCTGCGCTACCTGCAAGGGCGGTGATGGCGAGGAGTGTGCTATAGAGCATGCTGACTGATTGGTTACTGCTCTGGGAGTTCGATAAAGGTCTTCGTTGGAGTGGACTGGTGTGACTGAGGCGTACTAAGGGCAGTGAACAAACAATCGATTACTCTCACGAGGTGCACCTTCCTTTTGTACTCCCGAATCCTTCTTCTCGCGGATGATCAATGCATTTTTCCCGCATCTAGAGCTTCTTCACTCGCTTCTTGTTGCTACGATGCTGTCTCTGCAGCACTCGTACGTTTTAGCGATTGGACGCTCATTGTTTCACGATGAACCTGAGGCGTCAATTGGTCAATGGAGACTACAAAAGGTGTAGGCTAGCCTAGGCCGGCTGCTTGTGGCGCGAGCTATAGCTGCGATCCTGCATGTGTACCCTAGAAAACATGCTCACGGTGAGCAAGTTTTGGTCTTGGCGAACGCATGCGGCAGGCGCTGTCCGGTGAGAATGCGGAAACAAAACTCGCTCATCAACGGCTCAAGGATGTTTCTAAACGGCAGTTGACTGGCAGAGAAGGGCCTCGATCTGTAATGAATGATGCGCTGGTGTGAGGCAGCCTGTTAGTGATGGTGGTGTTCAGTCGGAGCCCTGTGACAGCCACATCTTGGCAGCTACCGTGTCCGTGCGCGTGACGCCCGGAGTCGCGTGCCGCCCAATCATCAACCCAACGCTCACATAGAAATGAGGCTGTAGAGCCACACACAATAGATAATAGTATGAGATTTTGTGGTGGAGTAGTAATTGAGCCTATCCGAATAACTTGCGCTACTTATATTTGCTTGGAAGTCTGATGTTGCGGCCACATGATGTAGTGACAGTTGGAGGGCTTAGGGGATGCTTCGGGGCTTCAAGACCACTCATACATCCATCACCTAGTTTCTGACGCTTGATATTCTGCATAGGTACTTTTGAGGCTCTCTTCTTGCCCCTTTGGGACAATTGTATAGCTTTGGCAGTGTTGTGAGTCTCTTTTTGACGCTGTTTTTTGGCTGCCTGTTTGGCCTTGGCGGCTGCTTTCTCTGCCCTCTCCTTTTCTCGTGCTACACGCTTCTCCTGAGCTACTTTCTCCTTGTATAACTTACTGGCGTGCCTTAGGTCAGCTAGCTCAGCTTTCTTGATTTCTTCTTCCCTCTTCTCTTGCTGTATTGCCTCATCACGTAGGCGGGCTTCATGGACCTTGTGAGGAGACCAGAACACTGGTCCACCACGGGATGGCTGTAGAGGCAGTGGCTTGCTCTTCTTCTTGTGCTTCCCCTGAGTCCTTACAGTCTGCTTTAGGCCCTCAATGTCATGCCGGAGTAGCTCATTTTGTATTGTCAAATGGTGTACCAATCGTCTGAGTTTTTTCACCTCTTTACTGGTCTTATCCTTGGCAATATGGTTGAGCATAGTCTGCATCTTGAGTACATCCTTAGCAGAGAAGACTGAGGAAGTGCTACTGTCGCTCTCAATTGGCTCAGGGGTATTGTGGATGAATTGTTGAAGGATGATGTTGGGTTGTAGGGGTACTATACCCATTGCTTCAAAGGACTTGAGTATGAGCCCCTGACTGAATGTGGCTTCCCAGGCCTTCCAGAAGAGAGGGAAGAAGTTGCCTTTTCTTATAGGGACTAGACCTTGGCTGTTGTGAAGGAATGTTGTAAGCTCCTTTGAGTATGCTGTTGAGAGAGGTGTAACGACGCAGGCCAGTAGGGAAGATGTCCAAAGTTAGTGTGAGTCCACTACAAGGCATATGGGAGTGCTGGGACGTTGAGAACACTAGGATTGAATTCCCTACACCTATAGGTCTTGTACGAAAGGATACAGAAAAATTACTCTATCTAACAACTGTGTCGGACAAATTAAATATACAGTTTGGAGGGGAATCGGAACTACCCATGTCTAGGTGACACGGAGGTAGTTAGCGACAGGAAGGAGAGCGGTGTGCTGAGTCCTGCAGGGACTACACGTTATCAGAGCGCTTTTGGTCAAAGGCGTTACAAGAGGCTTGAAGACCACTACATCAAGCGGCTGCAGTGTCTGGGTTGAATGTGGAGGAAATACAGCCAGGAGTATCTTGTTGGAATCACAATAGTTGATAAACTCCACTGTAAGGTGAGATCCATGGCCATCCAGGATAAGTAAGCGGTAATTTCGTCGGCATTTGTCCTTTGTATAGCAATCAAAGACCTGTTGTAGCCAGGCAAGGCCAATATTGTTGTTTGTCCATCCTGAGGGTGTAGAGGTGACAAACGCAGAGTGTACCCCTGGCTTGATTTCCTCTACCCAGCTTGATTGTATGGTGTTGTTAGTGGACTCATATATGAGCCCTGGTGGCAGTGCCAATCCATCGCCACACACACAAGCTATGAGCAATATCCAGTTACGATTGCCATCCCGTAGTGATGCCCTGACCTCCTTTTTCTCCCACATACGCCTACTAAATATATGCTTGGTCCTAGCAGTGTGTAAGAACTGTACCAACCGTTCTGTAAGGGGCGAGCCGCTGAGGGCAATATGCGATGTAGAACTTGATGGATTTGATAAGGGGCAAGTCCCAGAGCGGTACTTGCAGAATTCTAATA